AGCTCAACTTGAACCTCCGAGTTTGGTTTGGTTTTCATATTCAGCATATTTGCAGTATGCTTCCTTGCAAGTAGCTGAAGTTGCGTGTTTGTACCTTTCAGAGAAAATTTTTATGAGTGTGGATTCCTTCCAGGTAATTTGATAGTAAAGGGGAAGTTTGATTAGGGCATAGTTATGCTTTAAAGAACAACTCAGATGTTTTGGATGCCCTGAGATACCTACAGCAATTTGGTGGAAATTGGCTTTGAGTGGGGATTATCGTGGAGACTGTAATTTGATTCCTATTGCTTTTCTGGGCATCTGAAGATGGAGAGGGAACTGCTTATGTGTGAGCATAACAGGCCTATCTATTGCCAGAGAGTGCTGGTGGCACTGGTAGGTAATTTGGCCATGCAGAGAAAGCGTGTCCTTCCAAGGACCTGTTCTGCACTGTTCTGTCTGCATTGATGCTTTTTTTGGTTGGGTTTGGAGGATTTTTTGTTGCCATGTTTTGTTTTGGTTTTTTTGTGTTACTGTCTAGCATGTCAGAGTCTATTACTGTTCCATCAGTTTACAGTGTTCTATATAGGTAAGTAAAACTTTTTATTCTTTCTGTAAGTAGTTAATTGCTTTTCAGTTCTGTCTGTATAGAGTAAGTATTCAGATACTTCAGCCATAGAAGTTCATATATTATACTTTAGGCCTCTGGTACTCTTTATTAATACAAACAGCTAATTCCTACCCCCAGTAAACCTGTCTCATGTTCTTCCTCGCCTACACCAATGTGCAAATGCAAAATAACAGAGAGGTTCAGGGTATCACTCTGAATATGCAAGTGGAATCACTCAACATGGATACAGCAATAATAGCTTGAAAACAGCAAAGGGAAAAGTGGTCACAGAGGGCTTGGTTCCACTGGCTTAGAGCGCTGTTCAGATAAATGCTGCTGTGATCTACCTCTCCCTTTGTAGTGGCATTCCTGTTTGTCTAACCTCATGGTGAACTGGTTTAAAAAAATCAAATCAACAGGAAATTTCACTTCATTTCTCTTTTTCTTTTGCTAGGGTTAGCTTTTTGCTTGAATAAATTCCTCCGCAGTTCCACTATGCAATCAGCTGAGTGGCAGTGCTGGCACAGTGACTGTCATCTGCATGGAGGAAGAAGGCAGAGTCCATGCATTATTCCAACCATAAGTGGGTTTCAATTGTGTCTTAGAGGTCCCCAGTTACGCAGTTCTTGTGCATCTTGCTTTGTCTTGTTCTTCAGTTACACCTACTTCTCTTCTTCAGGTCTATTTACAAGACTCACTTTTATGACTTCACTAATAGTGAAATGTTCCTCAGAAATGGTGGCACCCACCAAAATAGTTGGAAATGCTTCTGGTGGTGCAAAGACTATTAGGGATTGAAACTCTTTGCCTACCATTTCCTCATCAGCACGGCTGTCACCCCTGGCCTCTTTGCCAAAACTTATTGCCCCTCTCCAGCAGAGGTGATGGAGTGTAGGGTGAGTTGACAAGGTTTCAGTTAAAAACAGGGATAGAATCATAGGTCTAAATCCAAATGGTAGGTAAAGAATACATGCTCTGGGGGAAAAAAGAATATATCCCTAGGTCTTGGATGGGGAAGTAATTACAAAAGCTGAGGTTTCCTATATGACAGACTTTTAAAAAACATTTTTCCTGTAGATAAAATGTGAGAAGGTTTGTCCCTAGTGCCTTTTGTTTTTGTTGTTGTGTGATAGGCTGTGAGATGGAATTAATTCCAAATAAAAACAAGCAAACAAACATTTGTATGTAGCTAATTGTGTTTGGTTTATAGTTTACCACTCAATCTTCTGGGTCTTTTTCTAGGGTACTATAACTTATTTTGGTTTGTGGTTTTTTGGTTGGTGTCTTGATGTGGGGTTGTTTTGCTTTGTTTGATTTGGTTTGGTTTAGTTTTGGTTTTAAGTGCCAGGAAAAGACTTCAATGCCATAATGCTCTTATTGCAGATAAGGACAGCAGTGGTAAGAGATTCAAGAATGCTTTACAATAATTGTCAACCTTTAAAAATTTCTGGAACTTGCTAGATCTTGACTGCTAATTCTCTTCAGTGTAATTGTACTGTATGGATTTGTAAATATCTCTTATGTCTTCTGTTCTTATTTGATTGTTTGATCTGCATTGTACCCAGAAATGCAAACTCAGATCTGATGTTTGTAAACAGTTGCTTGTATACATCGTTGTACAAAAGCAGAAAAACAAGAAAAAAAAAAACACAAAACAAACCTGTTTAATGCATTCATACTGTGTGTTCACTACCGTGCTCTTAATGAGGACTTCAGAAGTCCCACATCTGAGGGCTTGTAGAGCAGTGCTGTGCCAAATTGTCTGTTGCTTCCTCATTAAGGTTTACCAAGTACTGAGTTTTGGTTTTGTCAGAGATTAGTTCCTTGAGGAAGCGAAATGCTAAACAACATTAAAGGCTATTTAAAAGTGCTCTGAGAGTAAATCGACGGCAGAAGCAGCAGAGGCAGTAGCGGCACCCAAGGTAAGCCCGGGGTTTAAAGCTGTAAATTCAAGCAGCGCAGGGAAGTTCCCGAGCCCAAGGACACCTGATCAGCAGCCCCACCCGGACCCGGCAGGTCTTGGCAGCCAATTAGGCAAGCAAAGGGCCCCTATTAAGGACGTTGCCAGGACCATCTGCGGGAGATTTAAAGGGCTCCAGGGAGCGTGAGTGACACGGAGGGCAAAGGGGAATGTGGTGTGGCAGTTTGTGCAGGAAGGGCACAGCCACTCTCCTGCCTCTGGTTGTGTGTTGGGTGTGGATATGGTGGTTTTAGTTTTGGGGTTTTTCTTTTTCTTCTCCAACTTGACTAGATCCAGCAGTGGTTTACAAACGACCAAAAGCCATCACTGCTGCTGCCAGCAGGAGTGTGGTGGCCCAGACAGAACCCTCCCAAGAAAGACACAGCTGTGTCTGAGTCTGGTGTTAGTACCGCAGGACAGTGCAAAACACACCTGTGAGCAGTGTGAACAGGTGAATGATCTGCTCTGTCTAGTGGCAGAGCTTAAGGAAGAAGTGAAAAGACTGAGGAGTGTTAGGGAGAGTGAAAGAAAAATAGACTGGTGGAGTTTTAGTCTTCCAAGCCTGAGAGAAGCTCAGCAGGAGACAGATATGTCCTGTCACTCTTGCCATTGGGCAGAAGGAGGAGAACCTTCTGGATGGGGGGTAATGAAAGTGAGTCCCTGCTCAGGGAGGTGGAAGAGTCCCCTCTCAACCTCAATCACCTTCCCAGGTGCCCTTACAGAATAGGTGTGAGGTCCTGGATCTAGAGGGTAGGCAGATGACACTAGAGAAAAAAATCTGGACAGTCTCCCAGTTGCACTCTGTCTATCAGACAGATCATGACATCAGGTGTTAAGAAGAAAACAAGGGTGGTTGTAGGAGGTTACTCCCTTTTGAGGGGAACTGAGTGCCCTGTATGCTGCCCAGAGCCATGCCACAGGGAACTCTACTACCTCCCTGGGGCTTGAATAAGGGATATTACCAGGAGACTCCAAGAACTAATTCAGCTCTCTCATTATTACTGAGTGCTGGTTGTCCAGGTTGGCAGTGATGAAGTTGACAAGAGGGCTGAATACCAGTGCAGTTAAAAAGGACTTCAAGGCTCTGAGTCGATTGTTGATGGGACAGGAGAGCAGATGGTGTTCTGTTCAATTCCTTCAGTAGCAGGGATGAATGATGGAAGGAACAGGAAAACCCATGTTACCAATAAGTGGCTTAAGGGCTGGTGCCATCAGTGGAATTTTGTTTTATTTGATCATGGGGCAATTTTTACGGAACCAGGCCTGCTGAGGCAGATGGGCATCATCTCTCTAGCGCTGGCAAAAGGTTTGTAGCCCATGAGTTGGCAGGGCTGACTGAGAGGGCTTTAGACTGGGTTTGAAGGGGGAAGGGGATGAAACCAGTCTCTCCTAAGATTTCTTGATTGAAGTACATTATTGTGAGTCTCAAAAACTGGTGATGATAAACTTCATAAATGTTTGAACTAAAGAGTGATTAAGCTTGATTTAGGCAAGTTGTGGCTATGAAGTACTTGCCAAAATTGTTACTTCATTATATCCTGCTCCTAGGGAAGGGAGATCCTGATTGCAGCTGTGTAATAAGTAGGCCACACCATGCTTTAGCAAAGAAGCCAAGAATATAATGTATAGCAATAAGTTCATTTGAGGTGATACCTATAGTTATGTGATGAACTGATGTTGAAGCTCTTTATTGCCAGCAATCTGTGCTGTTCTTACTGTGTTCAAGTTTTCCTGTGTATTCTTGTAAATACAGATCTTAAGAAGAAAAAAAAAAAGACATCAGATTTATTAATGCAGCTAAGAATATGCAAAACAGGTGATGCATCTTCACATGGCCCATTGGACTGCTGCATGAAATCTTCTGCTGTTACACTGTGTAGAAAGACTGGATGTTTAAAAAAAATTATTAGAAAAAAGAGAGCAAGCAAGGACTGGAAAATTAAGTTGTCAGATTCTCCAGCTGCAGTAAAAAGCAAACTCAGATTCTAGTTGCTGAGATTTCTACAGCACTTGGCTAATAATGCATTACCTTGCTGTATTCTTGACTTCTATCAGCTATTGTGCTGAAGTAGGGGTCCTGGCTGTCGGAGTCTTTCCCACTTTCCGTGCCCAGGAATGAATGGCTGGAGCTCTGAGAGAACAAATTGTCTGGCTCTTTTTTCCTTTCATTTTAGCCAACCTTGTTTCCAATCTGGTCTGTAGATAGCAAGCGGGGACTGGCTATGAATAATGTCTGTGTTGCTTAAAAGTGACATCTGTGACTTGCCAAACTGCCTACGTGAAATGCTTCCAATGATCTAGCTGTTGCTCATGCACCCTTGTAGGAGGGGGACAGCAGCCTTAGGGCAGAACCAGAGTGCCCTGCTTCCCTTTGTTGACCTTGGGCATGCACTGCTCTATCCCAAGATCCCAAATCCTGGTGTATGTGATCCACTTTGAAATGGTGCCAAGGCTGGAGTGGAGCCACACGCCATTCCTGTTGCTGATGGCTGTGCCTGTTCCTGCTGTCATACAAGTGGTAGAATGCAGGAAAAGTAGGAATTAAGAAACCCTGTGTTCTGATACATGTCTGTTTCTTAAAGAACTTATGTATCAAGATTGACTCATGAGGATTTCACAGAGAAAGCTGAATTTCCATTTCAAGGGTTAATACACAGATCTTTTGAAAGTGATAATACGGACAGTAGATTGTCCTGGTGGTGGCTGAGAAGTATAATTTAAGAGACTTCTGAGCTTCATCTGCCTCTGAGAAGGGAACAGGATAGTTGCTCAGCTGTAATTAAAACTAGGATCTAAAAGGCTCTCATTTCTCTGAGTAGCGGGCTTGCATAGTGCAATATAAAAGAACTTTGATTTGAAGGGCTGCAGTTACTTACTGCTAGCACCCATAGTCTGGAGAAAATACTGATGACAGATTGCTCTCACTGTCATGGCAAATTCTTTATTTCACTGTATTTCATGATGCTGCCAGGGTTTAGCCTAGTGATTGTGGCATCTTTCCCTACCTGCCCTAAGGTGTGTGTAGTGTTTGTACTCTGTGTCTTTAAAGGCAGGTCAGTGTTAGCAACCATTCAGAAGAGATGCAAAGACCTTTTTTGTAGGTGGGAGAAAAACTAACAACAAAGACAGTTAATTGAACAAAATCCACTCATTTATTTGTAACCTTTCACATCTGTTAGCTGTCCTGAGTGTTGGTTTAACAAGGAATCTAGAGATAAACTTAAGTACTGAAGAAGACTTGTTTGCCATGCTGACATCTTTCTTCTCGGTTGGTAAAATCAGGAAAATAACTCTCACATATGGGTTGTAGTTGTGCAGAGAGGTGGTTTTAGAAATTGTTCTCATAGTGAATTCTGTTGAAGAAGCACTAATTACAGCTTTGAAATCTACTGAAGCAAATGACTGAATGCTGTCTTAAGAATACTATTACTCTGAGTTGGACTTGATGATCCTTGGGGGTCATTACCAACAGGATGTTCTATGATTTTTTTAAAAGAAAATCCACAACATGAGATCCTTAGAAACTTAAATAGAGTTAAACTTGTCAACACCCAATTAAGTTATTTTTTGGCCTTTTTATCTCAGTTTCTTTGAGACAGCATGTAATTAAAATAACTTATAGCTTTGGTCATGTTAACTTAATAGCATAGCCTGAAAAAGATCCACAAAACATAACTATTACTTGTTTTTACCAATTGATCATGTAAAGTCAAGGTACTGAGTTTAGTTATGCCTAAGGAAATCAGATAGAGTTGTGGGGTAGGATGCCTTTGCACACAGACTGACCAAGTTTGTGTGCAATTTGTCTCCTGGATATTCTTCTGGGACTTCTACTACACACAAATGAATAAAGCTTTACTGCTGTATCGGTATTTTTTAAGCCAGCAGGAGAGGTTTAGGGCTTGGGGTTTTCGCTCCAGAGTTGCTTTTAACTTCACATCTATACTCTCCAAAAACCTAATAGCTAACAGGATGGGTTATTCTCCATCATCTGTGTAGTTACTGATTGGTTGTTTTGAGGAACTATAGTATGCAGATACGAAGACAATCCTTTGAAACCAACTCTTGCGTCTGCACACAAGGTTTCTCTTGCAATGGATGAATAACTTGGTGTTAAGGTGTGTACTTACAGAAGTTCTGTTTCCTGTCTAGCCAGGAGATGGCTCTGTCTAGCCATTCCCAAAGGACATCAAGATTTCTGAAACTAGAGATAACTGGTATTCCTTGGGAGATCTAAATTTGGTGCTTTGTGCATCTGTTTCATGAATTTCAGGATACCTATAGGGAAAAGCTTGAATGGGAAAGAATTCTTAACAGAATTACAGTAAGAAAAATGGATGCATATGGACATGATTGCCTGTAATTGGAGATCTGTTTGTAGAAGGTCAAGGTAAAGGCCTTACAATAACCAGAACCTGGCTAAAAAAGCCTGGCAAGCACTCAAAGAGTTGTCTTGCTGCTGGAAACACAGCCTTTGAGCTGAAGCATAAGCAGCTGTGAAGCATGGTTTTCTTATTTTTCTACAAGTGTTGTAA